CTTATCCGGTTGTGGGGGAAGGACCCACCGCGGTATTTATGTGGAAAACTACACAGACCTATGTACGCGTACTGTGATTATCCCGGGTAGTTCTTATGTGATCAGAATGTCTACAAGACTTACGATTCACTGTTTTAACTACAAGTAGCTTCCTTCGGATACTATTCTAGCCTCTCCAGTACCAAGCATAGCTATCGATAAAACTGGCACAAATTCACTGACGTTCGCGTTGCCGCAAGAATAATTCAGTAATGTTCCCATTTTAGCCATTTTTGTCTATGTTGTATTTTTGGCGGTAGACTTCCTCAATACTTTTATGGAGTTGTGTTTTACGGTGGCGTCAAACCAATTTTTCTCCTTCTACGACGCGCGTTTCGATTCTCTTACATACTTGTACGTTTGTCCGGACGTGTAGGCTTTCGTTGGAATCTTTGTTCACCTCCGGGTACGGCCATTGGCCCAGTCGAAATTCCGAACTCCCAATCGACGTATGTCTATGATGAATCCACGGATCCGAACGAACTGATCGCCACCCGCCCATCCACATTCGAGGTGAAGAAGTCTGCGTCTACCTCGGTGGCTGAAAAGCTCGCCGTCTCCTTGAAGAAATTACTTGGAATCTGTAACCAGAACGCTCTCCCGCATCTCACCCGGGACGTGCCAGATCACGATAGTGAACTCTCGACCCTTGGCTTCTCTGGAGATAATCGTGTAAGACTCTGAAACATTAGCTAAATCCGCTGCTCTGCGCAGCATATAAACTGCATACGTCATTGGTTTCATTTATTAGTAATTCGTTAGCAGTTGTTTCTGCGCTACAAATCCTTGGTCAGACGTAAGTTTTCATTCACAATAACACACGACCCACAAGAATAATGACAGTTTTGAATAATCAAACTTCTCGGCAAAAATGCTCCCTGGTCTCTTAGTCTGGAGAAAAAACTACTAATTCAAGTTAAGTGTTTGATAATCACACGCAATCTAAACAAGGAAACCTATTAGACGCAAGAATTAAGTGCGGCTTTTGGTCTCTTGTGTCCTGGCGTGCGAAAAAGCGAGCTAGGAGAGAGCCTGGGTAACTTTCATAAGCGGAAATCCGACAAGAGAAAACGAGTTCCATAAGATGAAGAGATTTTAGTACCATTTGATCAGAACGGAGCGTACACGTTCTACCCAGAAAAGTGGAAACGGCGACAGCCGAAAGCTGTTGTCAACCGATCTCGTTAAAAAAAATAAGTTGGGCTTACGGAAGAGGAAAAATGGAAGCATACCAATATACTGAGAGTGGTTTTCAGTGATCTAGCTGCAGGCAGGAACGTTCTATTTTGTACTAGGGGTACAGCCTAGAAACTTCGGGGGCGGTCGCATAGCAACAAGCAACAAAGTACAAGAAGTCCACAAAAGGACAGGGCACCGGAGATTTCAAAGGATCTAACCTTGTTCTGTATTGCGGATTACGGGGAGTCAGACTTGCCAGAAATAAAATGAAACATTGATTCTACACTAATCCAGTCAATGGCCTTCAGGTGAACTGGGGAAAATGCAGCCAGTTGATGGGATTTAAGACTTCGTCCACTGACTGGGGAAGTAAAGCAATGCTGGCATTATTCTAGGAGGGAGCCACCACAGTTAGGTGGGCAGCGCACTGTGCGAAATATGGTCTGGGGAGAAGCAGCGAGCCGAGTGCCGCAGCACTAGAGCCAGATACTTTCCCAGATTTTCTAGTTTTAAGCGCTGATCCATGGGTCTATTTGTAAGCAGTTTAAAGGACCGGCTGCCCTCATGGGAGGCAAGGACTTTCGACAAAACAAGTGCGCTTCACCGTCTACATATGCCGGCGAAGGATGACCACTGGTAATTGTAGAAGCGACAAGGCTGCTTGTCGATAGTAGGTAGTCTGAAGGTTCTACTTGTTACAGACTAGTCTATACTCCCATGTTATCCAACACAAAAAAGCCTTGTGGTCCACTTTCCTTCGACGCCGTAGAAACTGCAAATTGGGAGAAATTCGATCGATGTCGAAAGGTACAGCGAGGATCAGAAGCTGTTTAAAGTAGTAACAGCCCAAAACGCTAGTAGGTACCAACAAAGGAGCGGGGGGTGCACAACCGGTCACGAGTGTCATGCTTGGCGGAAGCCAATTTACTGCGGCAGTTCTCAAGTCACCCTGCTTTAGACATTCTCGGACTAATCTTCCTACTAGTTATAGCTAGTAGCAATTATTTTCGGATTTGTACTTGCCTATTCAGAACAGATATGCGGACATCTTCGCAGTTGATATTCTCTCGCTCTCCACCTCTCACTTCTGTAGGTTCAAGTTGTACACAATGTGTCCAGTACCTTCCTCTGCACTGCCGAACTCCACTTTATTTACAATTTCACAATGCAACTGTCAGACTTTGCCAAACTGGAGATTCAGGATCAAGCTACTCTTCTCCTGTCAGCGCTACTTGAGATAGCTGTAAGCATCTTTGGTGACAGTTCCACTGTTCTAAATTACATTATAACAGAATTCCTGTTTGCACATAACTAAGGGGTCTTCCCATCTTTTTCTGTTTTCAGATGTTTCGTCTATTCAGTGAATACAGAGAGTCCGAGAGTGATTCTGACCTGACGGCAGCTTCAAAACCGGCAGGTCGCTATTTCGCAACAAAATGGTCGGGTATTTTGACCGGCAGCGACCTGCGGAGTTTCGGCTTTGCTACTTCGCGTTCTCTCGTTGATAAAATGTTCGACTTTGGCGCCAGAGTCTCACAGTTGCGTCTTTCGGAGGGGGAAATCGGTCTACTTATGGGAATAATCCTCTTTACTCCAGGTGACGCACATTCCTGGTTTATTTGCAAAAAACTGTTAGCGCATTTCCGTAAACATTTTGACTTGCGGGTCCTGAGGGAGTGCTAATTATTGTTTTTTTTTGGACTTAGAACGTCCCGGCCTTTGCGATCCGGAAAGGATCCATAAACTGCAAAACACATGGGCAAACTCCCTGTGCGAGTTTTGCGAGCACAAAGGATCATACACCCGCTGCGCACACCTGCTCCTTCTGCTTCCGCAACTGAGAGAGTTCTGTGAGAAATCTCTGCTGAGTATCAACAGCCAATGGCGCGAAAGTGACCTCCGACTGCCCAACTGCACACGCCAGTTTATCAGTCCATCGTTGTGACTGGCTGATCGTTGTCAGATTTTCACAGACAGTGCCACAGCCCCCCTCTTCCTCTGGATTTTGCCAGTGCGTATCGGGTACTTCAAGACATCTCAGGCAGCGGTTATTTTTAAAGACCGCACATATCTCACCGACTCTTCTTTCTATTTTGTCAATTTTTGTGTTTATAACGTTTTGTACCAGCTTTTTAATCTTTCGATTCTGAGCAGAAAGCTTTGTCGTACCTGCCGATGTATCACCTAAAAGCACTGAAACGCCTTGCTCGGATCTGACGCCTCCATTTCCCTTGGAGAAGTATATACCTCATCTCCCAAGTTATTTATATGATCGCTCTCCGGGTTATGAATGAAATTTTCACTTCGGCATAGTCTTTCTATAGCATTTTGAGTGGTGCTGATGGATGCACAAACTCGGGTCTGAAAGTTCCCTAAGGCTCGAACGAGCTCTTAGTACAGAGATTGTGCAGGTGCATAAACGGACACTTGATTGCCTTATTTTTCAGAGCATGAGCATGGTAGACAACAGGCTAAGTCAGCAGTGGACGGTCAACACCACCGAAATGTTTACACTGAGATTCGAATTGCTCACCGCTGTATGACATGTGGTTATTCGTCCTCTATTTGGTCTGCGCAGCTGCAACAACCTTGTCGACGACCTGTTTTGGGGTATCCGCGAAAGAAGTCTAGTCAGATCGGAGAACATGGAACAGGTCTCTCGGAGGGCGGCATCCAAGATGTGCCAACGTCCAAACCACCTTATGAGGTAGCGCTACACACGTCGGAGCGATCGTTCTTTTCACTCGGTCATTGCCCAACAAAAGGGTGTCTTGAGATAGCCGGGTGTTTCACTACGTGAAATCAGTTTATAAGGGGTCTAGGCATCGAAAAGCACAGACCGGTTTAGGGGACAGGAGCGGATCGAGATTGGGAGCGCTAGATCCATCTGCCCCATCTCACCCGTCCTGACCGGCAAGTGCAGTATTTTGCTGGATTTCGACCTCCTCCCCTACTAGACGAGCTGAAACCGTGGATTTTGGTAGACAAGATAGTGGGCACTGGTGACATGATCAGGCGTATAAACGTTGGAAACGGTGGCTCGTAATCAGGCGAAGCTTCTGAGCGCACGCTGCTGACCCCTTTGCCCCGACAACTGGTGGCGCACGGTCTGGAAGCCTGTCATGAGAGCCGAGTGTGATTGCACGCTAACTTACCGCGACTTAGGGCGTCTGCGAACTTCCCTTTGCATGAGCTGCACTACCAGTTTAGTTCGAAAATAGTAAGTCGACAAAAACGGCCTGCACGTGGATGGGCTTGCCGAGTTGGACGGCCATCCTTCCTTTCCACTGACACGGGATTTCTTCCGCTCCCACACAGAAAGCTAATCGACCCAAAGAAGCCGCATCATTTTTGCTGTTCCCTTTTAATTTATTCCGATGCTGAACGCGCGAATAAGCAAGCAATAAGTCGACAGCTATGGCTTGCCTCGGGTCACGATGTTTTTAAGATCGTAAGGTGGAAGTCTAGATTGTCCCAAAACAAAATCACGCTCTATGCATGTGGCTTGTGATGGTTGGTCCGGAGTTTCCAAAATGGCTTACAGGCTGATACCTTCTGAGAGCCATATTTGACCGGGAGCGGGGTTATATGCTGTACAGGAAACCACTCTTGCGGTGGTTTAATCGACCTTGGGTCCTTGAGAATCGTGTGTAGACCACATAAACTCGAGACTTGGTAGGGCCATTGCCCCCAGGCCAGAAAGTATCAGAAGTTTGCTGGGACAGAAGAATGAGACGCATTGTACTGTTTAATAAATGTATACAATATAAAAGGACAGTCTGTTAGATGAGGAGTTTCTCAATGCTTAGCTGGATATTGGTGACCAGAGGTTTCAACTGAGAGCCTTCGCTATCTGTTACGGCCACCGCGATGACGGGACGCGAAACACCACAGGCACGACCGAGAGCTACCAGAAACGGTAAATGAATGGGTTGGCTTACCTTGTTGTGACGATATAAATACGTAGGGAACATTCTTATCTTCACAGAGCAGTGGGAGGTGAAGGACGATCTCAATTGGGTTTGTGTCGGCGGCCATTACAATGAATTCGGCCTTGCCGCGATTAAGTGCCTTAGTGGCCTCATTAGCCCCCTTTTTTAATTGTTTGTAGGATGCCGCTTGCTTCACAAGTTCGATAATTTTGGTAGTAAGTTCTGGACT